AACGGTACCCCCCTGTATATATAGCCTCCCTACTGTCACTTTATTTTACTGTATATATAGCCTCCCTACTGTCACTTTATTTTACTTCTGCTCTTTTTTTCTCAACACTTTTTTGTTGTTGTTGTTTTATTCTTACTTTTTTTGTTTAAAATAAATGCACTGTTGGTTAAGGGCTGTAAGTAAGCATTTCACTGCAATGTCTGCACCTGTTGTATTCGGCGCATGTGACCAATAAAATTTGATTTGATTTGATTTAATTTCAATGGATTTTTATTTGGATTTCATGTAATGGACATACACAAAATAGTCCAAATTGGTGAAGTGAAATGAAAAAAATAACTTGTTTCAAAAAAATCTAAAATCTAAATAACGGAAAAGTGGTGCATGCATATGTATTCACCCCCTTTGCAATGAAGCCCCTAAATAAGATCTGGTGCAACCAATTACCTTCAGAAGTCACATAATTAGTTACATTTAAATTTACATTTACAGTGGGGGGAAAAAGTATTTAGTCAGCCACCAATTGTGCAAGTTCTCCCACTTAAAAAGATGAGAGAGGCCTGTAATTTTCATCATAGGTACACGTCAACTATGACAGACAAATTGAGAAGAAAAAAATCCTGAAAATCACATTGTAGGATTTTTTATGAATTTATTTGCAAATTATGGTGTAAAATAAGTATTTGGTCACCTACAAACAAGCAAGATTTCTGGCTCTCACAGACCTGTAACTTCTTCTTTGAGAGGCTCCTCTGTCCTCTACTCGTTACCTGTATTAATGGCACCTGTTTGAACTTGTTATCAGTATAAAAGACACCTGTCCACAACCTCAAACAGTCACACTCCAAACTCCACTATGGCCAAGACCAAAGAGCTGTCAAAGGACACCAGAAACAAAATTGTAGACCTGCACCAGGCTGGGAAGACTGAATCTGCAATAGGTAAGCAGCTTGGTTTTAAGAAATCAACTGTGGGAGCAATTATTAGGAAATGGAAGACATACAAGACCACTGATAATCTCCCTCGATCTGGGGCTCCACGCCAGATCTCACCCCGTGGGGTCAAAATGATCACAAGAACGGTGAGCAAAAATCCCAGAACCACACGGGGGGACCTAGTGAATGACCTGTAGAGAGCTGGGACCAAAGTAACAAAGCCTACCATCAGTAACACACTACGCCGCCAGGGACTCAAATCCTGCAGTGCCAGACGTGTCCCCTTGCTTAAGCCAGTACATGTCCAGGCCCGTCTGAAGTTTGCTAGAGTGCATTTGGATGATCCAGAAGAGGATTGGGAGAATATCATATGGTCAGATGAAACCAAAATAGAACTTTTTGGTAAAAACTCAACTCGTCGTGTTTGGAGGACAAAGAATGCTGAGTTGCATCCAAAGAACACCATACCTACTGTGAAGCATGGGGGTGGAAACATCATGCTTTGGGGCTGTTTTTCTGCAAAGGGACCAGGACGACTGATCCGTGTAAAGGAAAGAATGAATGGGGCCATGTATCGTGAGATTTTGAGTGAAAACCTCCTTCCATCAGCATGGGCATTGAAGATGAAACGTGACTGGGTCTTTCAGCATGACAATGATCCCAAACACACTGCCCGGGCAACAAAGGAGTGGCTTCGTAAGAAGCATTTCAAGGTCCTGGAGTGGCCTAGCCAGTCTCCAGATCTCAACCCCATAGAAAATCTTTGGAGGGAGTTGAAAGTCCGTATTGCCCAGCGACAGCCCCAAAACATCACTGCTCTAGAGGAGATCTGCATGGAGGAATGGGCCAAAATACCAGCAACAGTGTGTGAAAACCTTGTGAAGACTCACAGAAAACGTTTGACCTGTGTCATTGCCAACAAAGGGTATATAACAAAGTATTGAGAAACTTTTGTTATTGACCAAATTATTATTTTCCACCATAATTTGCAAATAAATTCATAAAAAATCCTACAATGTGATTTTCTGGATTTTTTTTCCTCATTTTGTCTGTCATAGTTGACGTGTACCTATGATGAAAATTACAGGCCTCTCTCATCTTTTTAAGTGGGAGAACTTGCACAATTGGTGGCTGACTAAATACTTTTTTCCCCCACTGTACATCATTTAGCAGACGCTCTTATCCAGAGCGACTTACAACTTGGTGCATTCAACTTATGATAGCCAGTGGGACAACCACTTTTTTTTATGGGGGGTAGAATGATTACTTTATACTATTCCAGGTATTCCTTAAAGAGGAAGGGTTTCAAGTGTCTTGCACCTGTGTGCAATCTAAGTATATATGCAGCTGTTCTGAAAGGCCCCAGAGTCTGCAACACCACTAAGCAAGGGGCACCACTAAGCAAGCGGCACCATGAAGACCAAGGTGCTCTCCAAACAGGTCAGGGACAAAGTTGTGGAGAAGTACAGATCAGGGTTAGGTTCCCACAAAGCACCATTAAATCCATTATTAAAAAATTGAAAGAATATGGCACAACAAAAACCTGCCAAGAGAGGGCCGCCCACCAAAACTCACGGACCAGGCAAGGAGGGCATTAATCAGAGAGGCAACAAAGAGACCAAAGATAACCCTGAAGGAGCTGCAAAGCTCCACAGCGGAGATTGGAGTATCTGTCCATAGGACTACTTTAAGCCGTACACTCCACAGAACTGGGCTTTACTGAAGAGTGGCCAGAAAAAAGCCATTGCTTAATGAAAAAAATAAGCAAACACATTTGGTGTTCGCCAAAAGCCATGTGGGAGACTCCCCAAACATATGGAAGAAGGTACTCTGGTCAGATGAGACTAAAATTGAACTTTCTGGCCATCAAGGAAAACGCTATGTCTGACGCAAACCCAAAACCTCTAAACACCCCGAGAACACCATCCCCACAGTGAAGCATGGTGGTGGCAGCATCATGCTGTGGGGATGTTTTTCATCGGCAGGGACTGGGAAACTGGTCAGAATTGAAGGAATGATGGATGGCGCTAAATACAGGGAAATTCTTGAGGGAAACCTGTTTCAGTCTTCCAGAGATTTGAGACTTGGACGCTCTTATCCAGAGCGACTTACAACTTGGTGCATTCAACTTATGATAGCCAGTGGGACAACCACTTTTTTTTATGGGGGGTAGAATGATTACTTTATACTATTCCAGGTATTCCTTAAAGAGGAAGGGTTTCAAGTGTCTTGCACCTGTGTGCAATCTAAGTATATATGCAGCTGTTCTGAAAGGCCCCAGAGTCTGCAACACCACTAAGCAAGGGGCACCACTAAGCAAGCGGCACCATGAAGACCAAGGTGCTCTCCAAACAGGTCAGGGACAAAGTTGTGGAGAAGTACAGATCAGGGTTAGGTTCCCACAAAGCACCATTAAATCCATTATTAAAAAATTGAAAGAATATGGCACAACAAAAACCTGCCAAGAGAGGGCCGCCCACCAAAACTCACGGACCAGGCAAGGAGGGCATTAATCAGAGAGGCAACAAAGAGACCAAAGATAACCCTGAAGGAGCTGCAAAGCTCCACAGCGGAGATTGGAGTATCTGTCCATAGGACCACTTTAAGCCGTACACTCCACAGAACTGGGCTTTACTGAAGAGTGGCCAGAAAAAAGCCATTGCTTAATGAAAAAAATAAGCAAACACATTTGGTGTTCGCCAAAAGCCATGTGGGAGACTCCCCAAACATATGGAAGAAGGTACTCTGGTCAGATGAGACTAAAATTGAACTTTCTGGCCATCAAGGAAAACGCTATGTCTGACGCAAACCCAAAACCTCTAAACACCCCGAGAACACCATCCCCACAGTGAAGCATGGTGGTGGCAGCATCATGCTGTGGGGATGTTTTTCATCGGCAGGGACTGGGAAACTGGTCAGAATTGAAGGAATGATGGATGGCGCTAAATACAGGGAAATTCTTGAGGGAAACCTGTTTCAGTCTTCCAGAGATTTGAGACTTGGACGGGGGTTCACCTTCCAGCAGGACAATGACCCTAAGCATACTGCTAAAGCAACACTCGAGTGGTTTAAGGGGAAACATTTACATTTCTTGGAATGGCCTAGTCAAAGCCCAGACGTCAATCCAATTGAGAATCTGTGGTATGACTTAAAGATTGCTGTACACCAGCGGAACCCATCCAACTTGAAGGAGCTGGAGCATTTTTTCCTTGAAGAATGGGCAAAAATCCCAGTGGCTAGATGTGCCAAGCTTATAGAGACATACCCCAAGAGACTTTCAGCTGTAATTGCTGCAAAAGGTGGGGGGGTGAATAGTTATGCACACTCAAGTTTTCTGTCTTTTTCTCTTATTTCTTGTTTGTTTCACAAAATAAAATATTTTGCATCTTCAAAGTGGTAGGCATGTTGTGTAAATCAAATGATACAAACCCCACAAAAATCCATTTTAATTCCAGGTTGTAAGGCAACAAAATAGGAAAAATGCCAAGGGGGTGAATAATTTCGCAAGCCATTGTAGTTCTTAACAGTGTCTGCGTGTCGGCGTTTCAGAGCAAGTTCAACCATCATTTCCCCCCGGGAATGCTGTGCGATGATGTTGTGTCCCTAGATTAGCAATGTATGTGTGTGTAGCTGTCAGTCAGTGTCATACAGGTTTAGATTGTATCACTATCAGAATATAATGATATGATACCAATGTAAAAGGCAGTAACTGCTGCCAAGGGCAGGTTGAAACCAAGCTAAAAGGCAGTAAGTTCAGTTACTGCCATTTACCTTGGTTTCACAGTAACTTTTTGCAGTTACTGCTAATATGACCCCCATTTTCTACAAAAACACAATACAATAGAGGCAGGATACTTGTCCACATGATTAAGCATGTATTTAACGTAGCAAAAATGACATTAACTCATTTTCGACCAAATTAGCAGTTACTGCCTTTTTGCTTGGTAGGGCAGTATTGTTGTCTCTACCTTTTTGCCCTTTGTGCTGTTGTCTGTACCATGTTTGTGTTGCTGCCATGCTGTGTTGTTGTCTCTCTTTATGTAGTGTTGTGGTGTCTCTCTTGTCATGATGTGTGTTTTGTCCTACATTTTTATTTTGAATCCCAGCCCCCATCTCCACGGGAGGCCTTTTGCCTCTTGGTAGGCCATCATTGTAAATAATAATTTGTTCTTAATTGACTTGCCTAGTTAAATAAAGGTTCAATAAAAAATTAAAATAAATCACCATGCTCAAAGGGACATTCAGTGTCTGCTTTTTTTTTACCATCTACCAATAGGTGCCCTTCTTTGCGAGGCATTGGAAAACCTCCCTGGTCTTTGCGACTTAGGGACCTTCCAGATAATCGTATGTGTGGGGTACAGAGATGAGGTAGTCATTCAAAAATCATGTTAAACACTATTATTGTCACACCCTGATCTGTTTCACCTGTCTTTGTGATTGTCTCCACCCCCCTCCAGGTGTCGCCCATCTTCCCCATTATCCCCAGGTTATTTATACCTGTGTTCTCTGTTTGTCTGTTGCCAGTTCGTTTTGTTTCGTCAAGCCTACCAGCGGTTTTCCCCTTGCTCCTGTCTTTCTCTAGTTCCTGTTTTCTAGTTTTCCTGGTTTTTACCATTCTGCCTGCCATGACCCTGAGACTGCCTGCCATTCTGTACCTTTTACACTCTGATCTGGATTACTGACCTCTGCCTGCCCTTCACATGTCGTTTGCCTGCCCCTGTTTTTGTAATAAACTTTTGTTACTTCGACACTGTCTGCATCTGGGTCTTCTCCTGAAACGTGATAATTATGGAACTATTATTGAACATGCAACTTATGTGACTTGTTAACCAAATGTTTACTCATTAACTTATTTAGGATTACCATAACAAAGGGGTTGAATACTTATTGACTCAAGACATTTCAGGTTTTCATTTTTTATGAATTTGTAAAAATGTTGAAAAACATAATTCCACTTTGACAATTTATTTTCAATTGAATCCATTTTAAATTCAGGCTGTAACACAACAAAATGTGGAAAAAGTAAAGGGGTGTGAATACTTTCTGAAGGCACTGTAGCTAGGGCATCAGTATCTAAGGTGCAGGGTAGAGGACCAGGTGGTAGCTGTCTAGTGACAGTATCTAAGGTGCAGGGTAGAGGACCAGGTGGTAGCTGTCTAGTGACAGTATCTAAGGTGCAGGGTAGAGGACCAGGTGGTAGCTGTCTAGTGACAGTATCTAAGGTGCAGGGTAGAGGACCAGGTGGTAGCTGGCTAGTGACAGTATCTAAGGTGCAGGGTAGAGGACCAGGTGGTAGCTGGCATGTGACAGTATCTAAGGTGCAGGGTAGAGGACCAGGTGGTAGCTGGCTAGTGACAGTATCTAAGGTGCAGGCCAGTGTACCGGGCGGAGGCCGGCTAGTGATGACTGTTTAACAGTTTGATGTCCTGGAAATAGAAGCCATTTTTCATTCTCTCTGTCCCGGCTTTGATGCACCTGTACTGTCTCTGTCTGCTAGATGGTAGCAGGGTGAACAGGCTGTGGCTCGGGTGGCTGAGGTCCTTGATGATCTTCTTGGCCTTCCTGTGACACCGGGTGTTGTAGATGTCCTGGAGGGCAGACAGTGTGCCCCCGGTGATGTATTGGGCTGACCACACCACCCCCTGCGGTTACAAGCGGTGTAGTTGCTGTAGCAGGTGGTGATACAGCCTGACAGAATGCTCTCGATGGTGCATCTGTAGAAGTTCGGGGGGTATTAGGGGCCAATACGAATTTCTTCAGCCTCCTGAGGTTGAAGAGATGCTGTTGCGCCTTCTTCACCACAGTGTCGTTGTGGAGGGACCATTTCAAGTCCTCAGTGATGTGCACACAGAGGAACTAGAAGCTTTTAACCCTCTCCACTTATGCCCCATTGATGTGGATGGGGGCGTGCTCTCTCTGCTGTCTCCTGTAGACCACGATCAGCTCCTTTGTTTTGTTGTCGTTGAGGGAGAGGTTATTTTCCTTGCTCCACTCCGCCAGGGCTCTCCCCTCCTCCCTGTAGGCTGTCTTGTTGTTGTTGGTAATCAGGCCTACAACTGTTGTGTCGTCAGCAAACTTGATGATTGAGTTGGAGACGTGCGTAACCATGCAGTTATGGGTGAAAAGAGAGTACATGAGGAGCTGAGCATGCACCCCTATGGGGCCCTCGTATTGAGGATAAGTGTGGCGGAGGGGTTGTTGCCTACCTTCAACACCTGGGGTCGGCCCGTCAGGAAGTCCAGGACCCAGTTGCACAGGGAGGGGTTCAGACCCAGGGACCTGAGCTTAGTGATGAGCTTGGAGGGAACTATGGTGTTGAAGGCTAAGTGTAGTCGATGAAGAGCATTCTCACATTGGGATTCCTCTTGTCCAAGTGTGATAGAGCAGTGTGCAGTGCAATGACTATTGCATCGTCCGTGGATCTGTTGGGGCGGTATGCAAACTGGGTCTTGGGCAGGGATCATCAACTAGATTCAGCCGCGGGCCAATTTTTTTATTGTCGGGGGGCCGGCGGGTAATTACAAATAATTGTAATGCTGATATTACAGTGCATTCGGAAAAGTATTCAGACCCCTTCCCCTTTTCCACATTGTGTTACGTTACAGCCTTATTCTAAAATGGGTTACATAAATATTTTCCCTCATCAATCTACACACAGTACCCCATAATGACAAAGCGATGACAATTTTTTGGGGTGCAAATTAATAAAAAATAAAAAACAGAAATACCTTATTTACATAAGTATTCAGACCCTTTGCTATGAGACTCGAAAATGAGCACAGGTGCATCCTGTTTCCATTGATCATCTTTGAGATGTTTCTACAACTTGATTGGAGTCCACCTATGGTAAATTCAATTGATTGGACATGATTTGGAAAGGCACACCCCTGTCTATATAAGGTCCGCCAGTTGACAGTGCATGTCAGAGCAAAAACCAAGCTATGAGGTCAAAGGAATTGTCTGTAGAGCTCTGAGACAGGATTGTGTTGAGGCACAGATCTGGGGAAGGGTACCAAAACATTTCTGCAGCATTGAAGGTCCCCAAGAACGCAGTGGCCTCCATCATTCTTAAATGAAAGAAGTTTGGAACCACCAAGACTCTTCCTAGAACTGGCTGCCCGGACAAACTGAGCAATTGGGGGAGAAGGGCCTTGGTTAGGGAGGTGACCAAGAACCCGATGGTCACTCTGACAGAGTTCCAGAGTTCCTCTGTTGAAATGGGAGAACATTCCAGAAGGACAACCATCTCTGCAGCACTCCACCAATCAGGCCTTTATGGTAGAGTGGCCAGACGGAAGCCACTCCTCAGTAGAAGGCACATGACAGCCTGCTTGGAGTTTGCCAAAAGACACCTAAAGGACTCTCAGACCATGAGAAACAAGATTCTCTGGTCTGATGAAACCAAGATTTAACTCTTTGGCCTGAATGCCAAGCGTCATGTCTGGAGGAAACCCGGCACCATCCCTACGGTGAAGCATGGTGGTGGCAGCATCATGCTGTGGGGATGTTTTTCAGTGGCAGGGAAACTAGTCAGGATCGAGGGAAAGATGAACGGAGCAAAGTGCAGAGAGATCCTTGATGAAAACCTGCTCCAGAGCGCTCAGGACCTCAGACTGGGGCAAATATTCACTTTCTAACAGGACAACGACCCTAAGCACACAGCCAAGACAACGCAGGAGTGGCATTGGGACAAGTCTCTGAATGTCTTTGAGTGGCCTGGACTTGAACCCGTTCAAACATCTCTGGAGAGACCTGAAAATAGCTGTGCAGTGATGCTCCCCATCCAACCTGACAGAGCTTGAGAGGATCTGCAGAGAATAATGGGAGAAACTCCCCAAATACATGTGTGCCAAGCTTGTAGCGTCATACCCAAGAAGACTCAAAGCTGTAATCGCTGTCAAAGGTGCTTCAACAAATTACTGAGTAAAGGGTCTGAATACTTATGTAAATGTGATATTTCATTTATTTATGTATATAATTTTGCCAACATTTCCAAAAACCTGTTTTTGCTTTGTCATTATGGGATACTGTATGTAGATTAATGAGGGAAAAAAACTATTTAATCAATTTTAGAATAAGGCTGTAACGTAACAAAATGTGGAAAAAGTCAAGGGGTCTGAATACTTTCCGAATGCACTGTATATTATTAACCATGTTACTTTCCACTCAGGCATGCTTTGGGCCAGACTCAGGTATGTGATGGTGTGGACCCAGACATGAGATGGTCAGATCACACAATCAAGCCTCAGCTCAAAGGCAAGCGGCAGCCCCACTTGCAGATACAGTCATTCTGACAGATTATATGTTTATGCTCCATCCTGTAATCTTCCCTAGGCTCATAAAAGTGGTGACCTAACAATTTGAAAATCCCGGCTGTTTTCTACTCGCCATCCATCACACAGTGCTATTACAGGCTTTAAGATGTTGACGCAGATGTAAAGACCGCTTTTATGGATCTGGGTTTTTATCATCTCACCATGGTGGGCCACGAAGACCTTCAGTGCAATCATCTCAATTGTGTCTGTGAGACATTGTATTTATGTTATGAATTCAATGGCCTGTATCCCTCTGGGTTGAGTGATGTAGAGGCTCTCTATAAGACACATTTGAGTTATGAGTCAATTATTCACGTGTGGCTTTAGTGGTATAGGTGTTCTTTGTCCGGCATGCATTAAGCCCTGGGTTTTAGCAGTATAAAGAACATGACCCCACACAGACACATAGCCCAGAGAGAGAGCCTCATCACGGACTCCCCATTGGCCAGGCTTAGACCCCAGGGCTGAGAAAGCTCTCATCCAATAAGACGCCCCGTGAGGAAAGCCCTCGTCCAATAAGATGGCCCCCTGGGGTGAGGCTGGCGGATTACCAGTCTGCCCCTGGTGTTTGGGGCAGTGGGGGCACGAGCGAGGAGTGGGAGGGAGTGCGGTCACCAGGGCCAGCGGGCGCCTTTAAATGGTTGCTAGGGAGCAGGTATCAAAGGTCTGTGATTCGCACACAGTCACGGTCATGGAGGAATTAAACAGCAACAAAGAGACAGTTATTCTGCAATAATCCGCACTGCGGAGGGCAAGTTATTCTCCAATAATCAGAGCCACTGAGGGGCCAGCCAACGGAGGACTGTGATCACAAGAGCATGGTACTGCTCATACACACACCTTACACATCCTTTGTGCACCCATACACATATATATATATTTTTACAAACCATGCCATTTTTTCTCTCTCTCTCTCTCTCTCTCTCTCTCTCTCTCTCTCTCTCTCTATCACACTCACACTCACACTCACACACACACACCTCCATCCCTCACAGTGTCGTAGCGTGGGAGGATCGCTGTAATCGGCCTCAGAGCCCTCTCCCAGATAGAGAGGTGTTCACTTTGATCTCCTCTGGGTGGTCTGGAGCCAGTAGGATTGGGAATATAGAGATGGAGAGAGAGGGGTGTCTATGGGAATATGAAGACACACAGAGAGCTTAGGGGTGAATCAAGGATCAACTCCCATAAAGACTTAGACCGGTGAAAATAGTGTATTGTCTTCCTCTCACCGTGAGATAAGATGAGTTATACCTTACATCAATGAGTTGGGACTCCACTGATTATTCGTGGTTGCTTAGGGGTGTAAGTGAACACTGTACATCCTCATTTGAAGCACTAAGGACCTCCTGTATTCAACGTAAAGTAGCCAGTAGCCAGCAGGCATTTGTAGTATTGATACAGAGGGTAGTGTGTACATGTAACATGTCTGTGATCTTAGATGCAGAACTGAACTGTCTCTGTCTTCATCTTTCTTCTTCGTCTTACTTTCTCTCTATTTCTCCCTCCTCCCTCTCTCTGTCTCTCAGGTGTGAGTTGCTGTGTTGTCTAGGTTCAGAGTTCCGGCGGGGTGCAGGTGTGTTGGATATAGTATATGAGTCGCCCTTCCAGCTGCTCACCTGTGGCTACGACAACTATATCCGCTCTTGGGACCTCCACCTCAGTCCCAGGTACACTGTCTGTCCAATCAATAATTGTTTTCGTGTTAATGTATGCATAAATTGTCAATGTACTATGGCACATAATGTATGGCAAAATGTACCTCCACCAATATAGCACATGCAGCAATATACATGATAAAACTGTTAATTCCGGCCAAGCATTATGATTGGCAAAGAAGCGTTCTGAGCCGTGCCGAAACGAGAATAACGTCACGTCTACATCATATACATCAACACACAGCACTAGCAACACAGTCCATTCATTCTCCCTCCCCTCCATCTTCCAAAGAAAAAGAGCGCAGTGTGTCCCTATCCAGTCCACTCTGGGCGGTGCCCGTATTGATGCGGACCTTTGCACATTTCCACAACAAACCAGGTCCTGCTATCAAAAGGGAGTGTGACATTTCTTTTGGGTGGGGTGTGTATATATGTGTGAGGGTTTTTTGTGGAGGGGGGGGGGGGGTCCAGTCAAGTAACACAAATAAAAGCTGATTGTCAGTTAGCTCTGGGGAGTTGAGCGGAGGGTTGGGCTTGGATGGGGGTCCCTCTTTAGACATCAATAATTCACACACACAGCACCCCCAAGAGGCTCCCTGGGACAGTGAGGAGGCGCAGGGTTGTCTGGACGTTGGGTTCCCACTGTAAGAAGGATTTTGAGTCCCGCAGATGCCTGGAGGGTAACCGACCAGCGGACAACAACACACACTTCATTCTCTGTCTGATATACATTGTTGTCTTGGTGTTGTAAAGCACCTGTCTCTTGTTATGGGTTTATGTTGTGTAGGGTTGTTGTGTCTTTTATCAGGTTGATCTATCTTCTCATGGTCTTGTTGAATATGTGACTTTTGTGTGTCAGGTTGTTTCATCATATTTCTGGGGTTATTTCTTTGTATTTATAGTATGGCTTTTTGTAATTGGGTCATCATGGCAAATCGTTTTCTCATGTGATGTGGTATTGTTCTATTTAGTTATGTAGAGATGGCTGTGACATTCTCTGAGTGCGATGGTCAGTGTGTATGCATCCTCTCTACAAACTGCTGCATTCTCACCTCGTCTGACTACCCACACACCACGTCGGCTATAGGTTTGGCAGAGAGAGGGAAGACGAGCGAGAAAGAGAGAAAGAAGAGTCAGCCCAATTGGACAAGTCAACCTCAGGCACTCTTGTCTCAAATTGTCCCAGAAAAACACACTCAGAGAAACCGACACAGCTCAAACTCTCTCAGATACACACAATAGTAACTCACTGCTTGACTTTAACCTCAAATGCCAAGAGGGGTAAAGTAGTCTGGTGATGGGGACACTCCTTCGAGTCTGGCCGAATCAGAGCTATATGTGGCTATATTTGGTGTCTCTCAACACTTTAGAACACAATGACAGTGAATTGACCTCGCACTCATTGGATTGCTAAAATTAGGACGAAAAGACTGTGTGTGTGCGTGCCTGTGTGTGTGTGCATGCCTGTGTGTGTGTGTGTTTCTGTACGTGTCTGTGTGTGAGAGTGACTCCAGACGTCTCTGCTGCCCTGCTGTCTGCTCCCGGTCCCTGTGCATCACTTATTGATGAGTCTCTAATGGATGATCGATCTCCATTGGCAGAACCCCTAAAATACTTCCCCTACCACCACCTCTTTCCCCACCGCAAACCCAGCCAGCACTCCAACACCCCAGCGCCTTTTCGTAAACAACAGATGAAGTTTCAGCATCCGCAAAAAACTCACACACAAACCTCACATCATACACCCTTCTCAAAACGTACAAAATCTTAACCTCCTCAAAACATGCACACACACATTTGCCTTATTAAAATTCTTCAAAGTACACTCTCTCCAAAATCCAGTCACATTCTGCACTGTGAGGTAGTGGTCCTTCTGCCCTAGGTCATCAAAGTAAGTTGAACAAATTAATGCTGTAATGCTGTCATTTTGGACTATTTCAGCTGCTGCAATTCATAGTATTTCAAATGAAGCTGATGTCTACTTTTTCCCAACATCCTCCTGTCCAACAGGAAGTGTGTCATGGAGTGGGAGGAGCCTCACGACAGTGCCCTCTACTGCATCCAGACGGACGGGAATCACATGACTGCCAGTGGCTCTTCCTACTACTACGGCGTCATACGGACATGGGATAATTGTTATTAAAAAATATTATTTAACCTTTATTTAACTAGGCAAGTCAGTTAAGAACAAATTCTTATTTTCAATGACGGCCTACACCAGCCAAACCCGGACGATGCTGGGCCAATTGTGCGCCGCCCTATGGGACTCCCAATCACGGCCGGTTGTGATACAGCCTGGAATCGAACTAGGGGGTCTGTAGTGACGCCTCAAGCACTGAGATGCAGTGCCTTAGACCGCTGCGCCACTCGGCAGACCCGCTGCTTAGAGGTATGTGTGTGTGTGTAATAACCAATTTGTGTGTGGGTGAGTGCCATTTATGACTGTTGTTTTCCTTGCCAAAGATGTTCCAGTTGTCCTCTGCTGTGAGCAGCCCAGTGTACTGCCTTTGTTTCAACACCTCTCACCTGTATGATGCCCTCGCCACAGCACTGCACTCTCTGGACTTCAGACAGGGCCCCCGCCATGACAGATAACACCCACTCCCACAGACAGCTGTTGGGATTTACAATACCAGTCAAAAGTTTGGACACACCTTATCATTCAAGGGTTTTTCTTTATTTTTACAATTTTTTACATTGTAGAATAATAGTGAAGACATCAAAACTATGAAATAACACATAGGGAATCATGTAGTAACTCAAAAAGTGTTAAACAAATCAAAATATATGTTATATTTGAGATTCTTCAAATAGCCACCCTTTGCCTTGATGACAGCTTTGCACACTCTTGGCATTCTCTCAACCAGCTTCACCTGGAATGCTTTTCCAACAGTCTTGAAGGAGTTCCCACATATGCTGAGCACTTGTTGGCTGCTTTTCATTCACTCTGCCGTCCGACTCATCCCAAACCATCTCAATTGGATTGAGGTCTGGGGATTGTGGAGGCCAGGTCATCTGATGCAGCACTCTCCTTCTTGGTAAAATAGCCCTTACACAGCTAGAATGCTGTGGTAGCCATGCTGGTTAAGTGTGCCTTGAATTCAAAATAAATCACAGACAGTGTCACCAGCAAAGCACTCCCACACAATAACACCTCCTCCTCCATGCTTTATGGTGGGAACTACACATGCAGAGATCATCCGTTCACCCACACCGCGTCTCACAAAGACAGCGGTTTGAACCAAAAATCTCAAATTTGGACTCCAGACCAAAGGACACATTTCCACCGGTCTAATGTCCATTGCTCGTGTTTCTTGGCCCAAGCAGGTCTCTTCTTATTATTGGTGTCCTTTAGTAGTGGTTTCTTTGCAGCAATTCGACCATGAAGGCCTGATTCACACAGTCCCTTCTGAACAGTTGATGTTGAGATGTGTCTGTTACTTGAACTGTGTGAAGCATTTATTTGGGCTGCAATTTCTGAGGCTGGTAACGCTAATGAACTTATCCTCTGCAGCAGAGGTAACTCCGGGTCTTCCATTCCTGTAGCGGTCCTCATGAGAGCCAGTTTCATCATAGCGCTTGATGGTTTTTGCGACTGCACTTGAAGAAACTTTCAAAGTTCTTGAAATGTTCAGTATTGACTGACCTTCATGTCTTAAAGTGATGATGGACTGTCGTTTGTCTTTGCTTATTTGAGCGGTTATTGCCATAATATGGACTTCGTCTTTTACCAAATAGGGCTATCTTCTGTATACCCCCCTACCTTGTCACAACACAACTGATTGGCTCAAATGCATTAAGAAGGAAAGAAATTCCACAAATTATATTGTAAGAAGGCACACCTGTTAATTGAAATGCATTCCAGGTGACTACCTCATGAAGCTGGTTGAGAGAATGCCAAGAGTGTGCAAGGCTGTCATCAAGGCAAAGGGTGGCTATTTGAAGAATCTCAAATATAAAATATATTTGATTAGTTTAACACTTTTTTGGTTACTACATGATTCCATGTGTGTTTTTTCATAGTTTTGATGTCTTCACTATTATTCTACAATGTAAAAAAATTTAAAAATAAAGAAAAACCCTTGAATGAATAGGTGTGTCCAAACTTTTGACTGGGAGTGTTTATGCGGATACTACGCACTGAAACCAACATGGAAACCTCTGCCAATGGCAACACAGATCCTGGACTAGAGGGCATGCAAGAACCTGTTGTTACAGGACTAATCCAGTGGCCTGGAGGCTCTCTCTCTCCCTCACACACACACACACACACGATAAAGCCTAGATAACGCTTCCATTGAAGAACACACAGGGAGATGTTTCCACCTCACACTTTGAGTGGCTATGGGTTCTGTCGGATGCTTTGAGGGGATAAAACCATATTAGCCACTGACAGTAAAATAGAAAAACAGTGTTTGGGTTTCCATTCATTTGACCTCAACACCAGCGATCAGTCAGGATTGAAGTGTTTAACCTTAGAAAATCCACGTTATAATGTGAGGATCCATTTGACGGACATAGATAAAATATACACACATCTGGCATATCAAAGTTCTAGACGCATATCCAAACCCCACTTACACCTGGCGGTGCGTCATACATTGTATATAGAAATGGGTCTAATTTGAACACTTGTCTTCAGATTAATTTGGTCAGTGGGGAGATAGTTGGTTTTTTTTTTCTGTGTTGTGCTTGGGGTTGAGTGGGGGGGTGGTTTGGGGGTTGGGTGTGTGTGCATTTGGTTCCACAGTGAATTCCCGGAGACCCTCCCTTCTTGCCATTAATGGCATATATTAGATCATATTCAACATGGGGCAGTCCATTAGCTAATATTACAGTAGCAGATAAGAGGAATAGCCACACTGCGTACATACATTGCACAACCATGCAGGAGATGTGACCCCCAGGGACTGTGCAGAGTTTAATTAATCATATGGACCCAGGGAGGGGCCCCACAGAAGCTGTTCAGTAGTGTGGCCAGTGTTTTGTTATCTGTAACTCAGTAGACGGAAATACAGGTTGTGCACTGATGATGATGATTTGATTGTGTAGAATGCCGTCCTTCCCCTACTGTGTGGCTTGGTATGAAATGCCTGACCTTGCAGGTGTGAGGAATCACACACGCACACACTGAGGATGCCACAGACTGAAGAGCCACCAGGCCACACTACTTGTTACCCACGATGCAGTGCTGTTGTCTGAGGTTATGTCACAAGGTCAACACAGTGACTCACCCAACCCAACCCAACCCCACCACCCACCTACTCCCCTCTCAGGAAAAGGCTGAAATGAAGACCTCCTGTCAGGAAATAAGTGGTGTGGGGGGGGGGGGGGGGGGGTCTGGGTTGAGGGTTGCAAGAAGGGTATTTGTGGTGCCCCTCGTCACACCTAAAGAGCCCCCACACACCCATACACACACCACACTCACCTAGCAACACTTGCACACACCATGGTCTCACAGACTCAGGAGTGAGTGATGTGGGCCTTGCCTGTACCTGCCTCTCTCCCTCGGTAGTGTCAGTTTGGAGGGAATGGATGAGGAGGAAGGAGGGGGGTGCAGAGGGCACCTGTACAAACCTCTCTGTCACACAGGTGATGGAAGCTTAGCAGGGGGACAAAGGATTTCACCTCACCCTCTGCCACAATGCCTTCATTTTTGTGACATTAACTCAGTTACATCATGAATATGATTCCTGTTTCAGACATGCAGACATGGATATAACATCATGTCCATTGACATAAATGATTAAATCAATAGTTTGTTCTTGTTATGTCAGGTCTATTAGATTTAGCTAAATGTTCTGGTATTGGTGGTTTTTTGTTTGTTTAGCAGGATCTTTAAATTAAGATTTAGAGGCTAAATCTGGCATCTAGCAAGTGTGAAGAGGGCAAACCATCGTGACCTCAACTGAAACACAGCCAGCTGAGACACACAGGGTATATTTAGCTGAGGGAACCATATGAAGAGCATCAGGGTGCGTCTGGGTTAGTGGCGACTTGCTTTAAGACGTAAATCACACATACACTTGGATCATGCAGATGATGGATGAGGAAATAAAGTATAGTCTAGTACTGCCACTACCTTGCAGTGGAGCATGAATTGCACTAAAATGCATTAGCTTTATGGCAAAATGTGTTAGCAGATGACAGCTGATGGAACAAACCAGGCTGTTTGTGTGAAGGAATAATGGTTAACTGTTTTTAACACAATATGATTTGACCAATTAGAATTGTAATTTTCGTACCACTACTGTTACTGTTCACACTAGATATTCACAGAGTAACCCACTGGCACCTGTCTCACAGAGCAATCCACCATCCTTTGACTTTGTTCTCTCTCACAATGGATAACATGTAATTTACACTTAGCACTTAGCAAGACTAGCAGAGTAACATGAGAACATATGAAGAATCACACAGTGTTTTCTTTGGCCAAGTTCATTGGACTTGAATGGAAGGAAGGGCTTCCCTTTCAGTGGAGGTGAGCCCTGTTTCCGTGGGCTCATTGGGCTGTGGTGCAACCATGGAGAGGATCAGATATCAGAGCATCATACCAGGGTTGAGATTGGTTTTGGGGAGGTGGTTGTACTGTGTTATAAATGGGCTGGCAGGTTTTTACACTGATTTACCAGTGTGCAGTTATGTACCAAATGGTGCTGGAGCTTAAATTATTGTACCAATGCTGCCATCTACAGATGATGAGAGTAAATATATGCAAGACACCACTACCAAAGACTGCCACTACCACACACATCTGCCACCATTCCCACAATTTACTCTAAATTGTGTTATTCTTACAGTGGTTGCCAAAATAAAGGAAACACCAACATAAAGTATCTTAATAGGGCACAAGTGTCTGGGACTCCATCATTTTGAGAGATTCCATAATTTTGTGTTTTGTTGATGGTGGTGGAAAACTCTATCTCAGCCTGCGCTTCAGAATCAATTGGGTCGAGGTCTGGTGACTGAGACACACACACACTTTAAACCGCTATGCTCCTATGAGACCCCCTTTCAAAGTCACTGAGATCTTTTCTTGTAGCCAAAATAATGGGCAACTGGGCATTTTTATACATGACCCTAAGCATGATGGGATCTTAATTGTTTAATTATCTCATGAACCACACCTGTGTGGAAGCACCTGTTTTCAATATACTTTGTATCGCTTATTTATTCAAGTGTTTTTTTTTTGGGGGGGGGGGCAGTTACCTGTATATTGGCACAATGATGAAAATATCTCAAATATCTCTCAATTCATTTTATTTATTTTCACACAAACTTCCACCTTTTTCCCAAAGCACTTACTGAAGTAATGCAGGAAAATGGATCAACAGATATCCCACAAAGCATTACTGTCATGCGACATCTTTTGGACGTCTTTTTTTTATCCTGTCCAGACGTTGAATTTTAGACGTCTATGTTTGGTTCAGATTTGGTCCAGTCTGGACCAGCCTTGATTTCAACATCCACAGATGTCCGATCCGGACCAGCCTATTACCAATCATAGACATCTATGTTTCACAAGTTTGGACAGTATAGTACAATACAGTACAGTGTAATGTACTGTACTCTACTGAATTAAACTGTTCTGTACTCTACTGAATTAAACTCTACTGTACTGTACCGTACTGTATTCTACTGAATAAAACTTGACTGTCCAGTACCGTACCATACCGTTCTGTACTGTACAGTACTCTACTTTGCTAAACTGCCGTAATGTAATGTGATGTTCAAACTTGTGAAACATAGCCTAGACGTCTATGATTCGTTCAGATTTGGATCTGGTCCACACCTACCAAATGTGTACTTGTTTGGGGGCCGGAGCTCATTAGAATAATACACAGCATGCTTTGCGAGTGTTTGTTTTTACATTTACGTCATTCAGCAGACGCTCTTATCCAGAGCGACTGACAGTAGATAAACAATAACATATCACAGTCATAGCAAGAAAATAAACAAATCTGTAACCGTCCTTTACTGCGAATGTTATTGTAGTTGAAGTGGTCTGTTGGTTTATTCTGTAGGTTGGACTACTTTGAACATCATCGCTGCCAGTTTTAAAGCTTTTGAATGAGACAGGTAGGAGCAATAATAAATATTATTTTGCAATCTTCAGTTGGCTCCTCTTTCCTATATTATTGTGATATAATACTTACTTCATTGAGAATGTATGTGCAGTTGAAATTTGTCCATAGAATCAATGACCGAAAAATACATATTTTCAACGTAGTATAATACTTTTGTTCTGAAAAGATGTCTTATAACCTTTCATTCAGCACCTGAAATCCACTTGATGTCAACATCTGGAAAATACCTCGAAAATACGTATTTTTAATGTAATTTTGCTTACTGGGATTCTTTTTTTGAATAGTTACAATTGACCACAATCAGCTACACAACAAAATAGAACATTTCAGTATTATTTGTCTAACTATGGGAATGTGAAATTGTCTCAACTGAAGACCAAAAAGCTGCAACACAGCAAGATTGGGCTAATTGTGTTAATTGTAAATGTATGCGTGTGTGTATTTACCGCTGTTTGTACCAGAATGTGAATGAAAAAAGATAACCATTACCCCCCCCCACACTCACACACAACCCCTCCACCCCACACACCCCACACACCCCCAACTCTTCACTCCACCCTCACCTGTCAGTCATCCACGGGTCCCTGGGCTGAGGAACACAGGCCTGTCAGAGGGACCTCCAGCAGCCCTCAAAGAAAGAACCCCCCCCCGACAAAATAAGTAAAATTGAAGAAAGTCGGCCCTACTTTGCAGATCAGTCAGTAGATACCTGATTGTCACTCTGAGAGTCACAGCCTAATCCTATTGTGTCCTCTATAGGATTACTCTCTGTGGTCCCTCTCTCCCTGTAGCTGCGCGCGGGAGAAAGACCAGATTAAGGGGATTAGCTTGTATCCTCCTGACTTGTCAAGCTGGGATGTAAGGAACCATTGACTTCTGGGATATGAATGAGAGAAGTGCCTAAAAAAGAGGCAATGAAAGGCAGTGAACAAGAAAAATTCCTGAAAGAACAATGTGATTTGTTTGCTTTTGTTCCCTTTAACTGGGCTGAAAGGTTCAAAGGGCTTCCCCTGAGGAAAGGAAACCACCAAGCGCAGAGAGAGGGTAGAGAGAGAGAGAGAGAGAGAGAGAGAAGGAGAGAGAGAGAGAGAGAGAGAGAGAGAGAGAGAGAGAGAATGAGAGGGAGGGAAAGATGGATGGTGGGAGAGCGAGAGAAAGAAAGGGAGAAAGAGAGGGAACTAGGGTGGAAGAAAGAAAAGGAGTGAGAGGGAAAGAAAAAGAGAGAGGGGGCACAGAGGAAAAGAGAGGGAGAGATCCACATCTCATTTCTATAACAAGCATGTAGGGCTTTCTTGTTTTTTTGTACATTATTAAATTAATGTATTGTATTATCATGTTCCTAGAATTGCACTATGACCAATTTTTTTCTCCAGCCAT